TACAATTACACGGGCAAGATAATGAGTACATTTCTTATCAAGCATTGTAGCCTCCTCCTTTGTTTCCCCTTCCCATCCCTTCCCATCCTCCCCCGCGCCCCCCTACCTCTCACCCCCCTACCCCTACCCTCCCCCACCCCCGCACCAAAGTTGTAAAGTTCGTTTTCGACATATCATCAGTTATTCTTATTAATGTAAAGAAGTTAGAAACTGTGTGTCATGTATGTACAGATAGCTCCAGCTACTTAGGACAAAGGATCAAAAGTTTGAGGTCAGCTTCTGTGACTTAGAGAGGCCTGTCCCAAACTTGTAAAAGGAACAGGAGGTGTGTTTAGTGATGGAAGTACTTGATGACCATGTAAAAAGTCTTAAGTTTAATATCTAATATCACCACCCCAAAAGTTGAGAGCATATAAAAAATAAGAAACAAGTGAAATTCCACAGGTTTATTTGTAATATTATTCAGAGCCTTATTCCTATGATGCTTGAAAATTTGAAAATATTAATTTAACAATTCAAAAGTGCTCCTTATCCCTAATAAATTCAAATAACATCTTAATGCAAATAATTCACACAACACTAACCTTACTTTTGGTGTTAACTTTCATTTTAGCCCCATGATACTGAAAGTTAGGCTTCATGTATACCATTCTGTTTTTTACAGCTAATATTTGCCTACTTTCTCCAAAACAACTTCCTTGACATAATCTCATTTTTTGCAAGTCGTTTCAATATTGTTCAAAACGTCCTTTATGGCTGTTCCTTCCCTTCTCCTTTGGAGCTGAGAAGACTTATTAGATCTTCATGGCAACTTAGGTTTGTCCCTTCCCCTCCAATCTCCTGCTGCCCATCATAGTAAAGACCTATACTGTCTCATAAAATGTCCATCTAGGCTTCCCTGTTTATTTCCAGAATAGACATAATATTATACTGAATAGACATAATATTATACCGAATAGATATTATGCCTTTGTTCAAACAGCTACAATTTAGTCTAACCCTATTTATTGCTAGTTTTTTTTACTATCCCATTTTAACATGAACTCTGTACCTCATTTTAAGTTGAGATCTTTATTATCCTCTCTCCTTTCTCCTATCCCTCTGCTAGGAGTCCTATTATTTTTTCTAGATATCCTTATTTGCTTAGCACTGTTCTGTTTTTCTTTTCCTTGAAAGTTTTGTGCTTTAAGACACTATTCAGATACAAGCAAATTGAGATAGTTCTTCACATTACCTGCTTTCCTTATTCAATGTATATAATAAGTATATATATTATACTTATACATATCCATATATAAAATTCAGATGTGTATTGTAGGTACTGTGGTAATGGTATCAATGCAATCCTTTGTGCTATTTTGCTTTAAGGAGATACACCGATTATCTTAGAGGCAGTAAGTCCAAAATCAAGTGGTTGAAAAGGTAGGTTCTTTCTAAAATTTGTTAGGGAAAAAATCTACTCATTGTCTTCTTTTAGCTTCTGGAGATTTTCTGGACTTCTTTGTCATTCCTTGACTTGCAGACTCTGCCTTCATCTTCACTTGATAGTCTACAAAGCAGGACTGTGGTGAGGTCTAGTTTCAGGAAACATAAAAGATGTTCTTATGTACCCTATTTATTGACTTGCATTATAAGAAGATCAAATTATGGAAAGTTGGAAAAACTAACTTTTCATATTTAGCTTTTTATCAGCATATATTAAGTATACAAAAGCTTTTCATTGTGATATGCTTTTACATTTATATAATGTACATTGATCATATTTATTCCTTCTGCTTCTTTTTCTAAAATGACATAAAGATGGAGTATTGAATTTGTATTTCCTTTATGGCTAAGGATGTTGAACATTTTCTCATGTATTTAGCAATTTGTACTTCTTTTGAAAATTCTCTTCAATTCATTTCTCCATTTATTATTTATTTGTTCTGTTGGTAATTAATTCTTGTGTTCCTTCTATATTCTGTATAAAAAACTTTTCTCTGATGAGTGCCTGGTAAAGGTTATTTTTTCCATTCTATAGGTTATCTCTTCATTTTGGTAATTTTTTTCTTCTATGTACAGAAGCATTTTAATTCTATATAATCCTTCCTGACAATTTTTTTCTTTTTTTTTCAGGCAGGAAAAGAAGTTTGTTTACCAAACTGTTGCCCCTGCCATGCATGATGGAGAAGCATGGCTGAAAAGGAAAGGGGCGGGGAGGAAGAGGGGTGCCCCACCTCTGGGCCAGGACTTATCTAGGCCAGGGACAGGAAGAGGTGTGACCAGGTGGGGAAAGGTGTGGCCACACTGGATCTGGATGTGACCTCAGGGTCACATAGGAGGCATGTGATCAGAGGTGGCCCAGGATGTGACCTAGCAGGAGGGTGTGCCAGTTACCTAGGTAACAGATACTGGGCAGAAACTTAGCCAAGAGGGAGGGAGGTGTCCCTGTGCAGACCTTACATTCCAGCCTTTTGATAATTATGAAAAAGGGTGAAGATTCTCTCTGGCTACTTCCTGCTGGCAAGGGACATCGACAGTAGGGGTAAAAGGCTGAGATGTGGTCCCCTCTGGGAGAAAGCAGCATTTGGTAGGTGTGAATCCTTAGATGAAGTTTGGAGGAGGCAGGTCTCTTGGATGAAGTCTGGAGAAGTCTCATGTGACATTGAGGGACTGAAAAAAATACTAGAAAGCAAATAAATGGCAAGAGGATGGATTTGGGGCTGAAAATGTTGGTAGAAAGGTCCCTAGCTACTTCTGATGT